TGTTGACAGCAATAGTATCCAGTCATTCATCGATGAATAAATCGCTTAATACAGCGGAAAAACAATATAATTAATCAAAAGGAAAAGTAATGTTAAAAACATAAAACTCTTGAATGACTTTTTATTAGAAATATTATATATTATAATAAATTCGCGTATTTTCTAAACCACAATAAAACATATGGCAAAACATTTTTGCCAATCATTTTCTACAGGAATATAATTAGTCACAAAATATATTGTGAATTGATTAATGTAATTATATAGTGTATACATCCAATGCTTTGTAATGTATAGTAACAATAAAAATATTTATATTTAAAAAATTGCCATTAGTAAAATATAAGTTATAATTTATAACTTATAAACCCTTTTGCAAAGGATTTGGCTATAAAAAGGAAAATCCCGATAAGTTTTACAAATTATTTTACTAACAAATATTTTGTGATAAATGTCTCAATTGTAGACTATATTACTTGTGAGCATTAATTAGTATTACTGTTAATCCTTAAACACGCGAATTACTGCTAATCCCTAAACACATGATTAAATATAGCGATAATCATGTAATTGTATAGTAAAAACAGCAATTAATTGTGAGGTAAATTAATTACCAACAATATTGTGACAAATATTTCAGTTTAAAAACACTTGTGAATAAAATTTTGAGTTATTTTTATGATATTTTATTATTATTTTTGTTGGACTTTACTTTTTATGGCATGAGTTTCGTGTTATTGATATCCAAAAATACATACGTAAGACCAAAAACAGACATTTAATTTATTTGTCATGTTAATTTTATAGTCAAACATTGTTTTTAATTGTTCATGTTTTTATAACAATATTGTCTACTTGGTTAGTTTTGTTACGTTTGTGTCACCATATTATCGCAACTTTTAACATGTTATTAAATTGTATACAAACGCAACAACTTCTGTAAAACTTATGGTAAGATATAAACACATGATAAAACAATTTATGGCATGTTATTTAGATCTAGATGTTTTAATTTTCTTTTTGTGTTGAAATATATTTGTTTTATTTTTTAATGGCATAAAAATTAATTTTTCTTAGAAAATATGACATAATATTCTTGTTAAATACTTATTTTTATTACATTTAATATAAGATTTAAACAAGTTTTGTAATATATTTTTTAAATTTATTATTTATTTATAATTTATTAACGTAATAATAAAAAATATTTAAATAATAGCAAATGTATTAATCTTTTAGTAAATATCCTTTTTAATCTCGTTTGAGGGGTTTTGTAGCAAATATTATGTAGATTTTTGTAATAAACTATTATTTTATGTCAAACACAATATTAATTAAAACTTAATACTCTAACGATAAAAGCGTATAAATAATATTTAAATGATAACAAAATGACATTAATAATACATTTTCACATCAAAAACTACTTTACCTGTANTTGTAACAAATATTATGTAGATTTTTGTAATAAACTATTATTTTATGTCAAACACAATATTAATTAAAACTTAATACTCTAACGATAAAAGCGTATAAATAATATTTAAATGATAACAAAATGACATTAATAATACATTTTCACATCAAAAACTACTTTACCTGTAATTTTCAGATCAGATTATTATATAATAAATTCCTAATTAATTCATTCAGTAATGAAATGAATTATATTAATACTAATTATGAGTTTTCTGTAATATAAGTATTGTATTAAATAAATATTTATTTCATTCATAATCGCGCCGTAGGAGTGAACAAAACTTAACCACTTTATGCCTATCGTGTAGATAATCAATGGTTAAGCGGTAATTAAGACACCCGATGGCCACCGATAGTCCTGAATACTCGCATTTTGTGGCCGACATCGAGTCCACCGAGAGATCCGATGGCAGCGACAAGTCATGCAAACCATTACATTCGTTGGCCAACGCTTTTACGGGTTTAGTGGCCATTAATCGCACACATATTATCAATGGTGGCCATCAGAAGGCAGCTGATCCCAAACGTACCCCAGTGTCCGCCACCCCTCATCACAAGCCCATCCGATGGCTTCACACTCGCACTCGTGTCCATAGGTTTCTTCAGGAGCCCAACGGCCCCGTCGGCCGCGGCTATCACATCACAATCACACTCCTGGTCCTCATGTGTCTCCTTTTGACAATACTCTGCTCTTTCACCGGTATTTATCATAATCTTTATTGTCACAACTCATTATCATTTAGCAAATGCTATGAATATAGTATAAAAACATAATATTCTTCAAGACATTAAAAATAGTTATAAATGTGAGTCAATTGTAACTCAAGACACAGTGCTATTGAACAATAAAAATGATGGTCAAACAGTGTGTTTGTGTCCCGCAATCTAGAGCTGCCAATTGAGCTAAACGTTGTCCTCTATGTCGTGGATATGCTATTACTGGTGATCTTTGCGGCCGAGTATTTGGTACGGATGTGGGCCTCGAGTTGTGTTTCCCACTACCGGGGACTGCGAGGCAAAGGCCGGTTTGTGGTGAACCCGTTCCGTGTGTTGGACCTGATAGTGATCGCCTCATCGGTGGTCATAATTGTTATCAATTTGGAAAACGGCTTTATGTCGCCCACTCTTAATGGGGTCCGATTTTTTCAGACATTCAAACTCATTAGACTCGAGCACCAGTTCAAGCCCTGGCGGGTCATGGCTTCGGTCATATGGGCTCAGAGAGAACAGGTCTATATCAGTAAGTAGTAAAATGGTATACAGTATATTTGTAGTTGACCATGACCATTGATTAACAATTATTACCTTATAATTGTCTATTACAGCCACTTATTGCTCATTCCTGGCACTCGTGTTCACATCATTTCTCATATATTTTGTGGAAAAGGATGCAAACCCTATGTTTAGTAATCTGGGACAGGGTTTGTGGTATACGGTGTGCACTCTCACCACTATTGGTATGTATTTGTGTAATAAATTTAATGAATATGACACTTGGCAAACATTATGATAATATAATTTATAACAACATGGTAACAATGATAACACATATAGGTTACGGCGATATATACCCGATCACATGGTTTGGTAAAGTGTTGTCCAGTGTTTGTATAATAATAGGCGTATCGGTGTTCGCACTGCCGGCCGGCATATTGGGTACGGGACTCGCCTTAAAGGTATAACTAGTGTTGTCATCAATCAAATAAATAACACATGGTTTAAACAATTATCTCGTTTATTGTCTAACAGGTTCAGGACCAGCAACGACAGCGACAACGGCGCAAACGTCTTATACCGGCGTATGTATGGCACCGGTTGTGCGCATAAATTGGGTCCTAAATGCAGTATAGCTAATGATTTGTAGATTTAAAACAGGGTAAAACTAATCCAAACTCGATGGAGATGTCATCACTTTCACAAATACCCGCTAAATCCGGCCGCAAACCCGACCACAACATCGCTGTCCTCATCCAAAATGTCGGTCAAAAATGTCCGCAAAAAAGAGTTCAATAAACTCGAGAAGATTTGTATGCGTTTTGTATTGAAAGTGAAGTTTTTGGCGGCGAAGAGACAATTCACGCAATCATTAAAGCCATACGACGTGAAGGATGTGTTGGAACAGTACTCTTCAGGTCATACGGAAATGTTGGCCAAAGTTAAGCAAATCTATAACAGAGTCTCTGGTATTGAAAGTATGGCTGAGAATGGCTTCAAATGTCAACTCGAGTCCAAAAATGTGTTAATCTATCGCTTGTCTAAAGTGGAGGACGGCTTACGAGACACTCAAAACACATTGAATCAAATTCTTAACATTCAAACAGAAAATAAGGTCTTATATGAGAATATTCTTGAGTTTCTGGAGAATAACGCTTCCAAATAGTGATCGACAATCATATATGGCATACATTCCTATTATTTATGATATTTCTATACAAATAATTTTACATTGAATTACAAAAATTCATTTTTTCCAAAAATCATAGCATTATTATTAAAACATAATTTCATAATCAAAATACAATTATAAATATCCTTTTATTCGTTATATCCTTACACTTCTCTAATACTATTAGATTTGTTATGTAATAATATGTAATAATAAGATTCATTAAAAAAGTATCGATAATAATAACAATTTATGTGATAAATAAATACAAAATATTGTATTGTAAAAACTTATTTACTTGTGACAAACATTTAAATATATTCCCGCCCGCTCTCTCTCTCTCTCTCTCTCTCTCTCTCTCCCTCTCTGTTGTGCGTGAGTTGCGAGTGTGTGAACTGATGCCTACGGTTGGTATTTGTGGTGATACTCTCACCTATAGGTGGGTCTGTGGCAATGCTGTGGCGCCTGTCTTTGGGTACCAAATAACAGATTGAGTGAAAAGTTTGAAAAATAATTTGTTGTTTTGCATTGAAATCATTGGCAAAAATTGAGATAAAACTCTTCATTTGGATCTAATGATGACATTTGATAACACAGTAGAGGACAAGTGACAAAAACTTTCGGACAAACACGTGCCACGAACCGCCGCGAGTGGAGTCCAGATGGGCGGCCAACCGGTCCCTGAAGTACGGCAACCAGAGTCGGGTTTGGCGTTCACTCCAACCGCCCGTTTGCAACAATTGTGTCCAACGCCTGACCATCAGGTAATGTAATGGTTGGCGTCCATGCGGTCCAGTGGACCACAACCGGCATCTGTAACGATATTGAAACCACAATTCAATGGTTTCCCTCCCGAATGAACTATTATTTGTATTCAAAAATACATTTTATTTATAGTTTCGCTAAAAATGTTCATTTCATTCATTTAAATACTCATTAATTGTGAACACATTTTGGCAATTTAGTGGCAACGGGTTTGAAGGCATTAACTTCAGACCAAACCTAAAATGGCGGCAAGTGTTAGCTAATTGTATTTTACGGCCTAACACCAGGCTTAATAAACATTTGCCTTATTGTGTACAGTATTGAAACAATGTTACAATAATATTAAACAATTTGTTTTATTTATTAAAATTGTTTATTCCTGTTATAAATATTAAATTTAATTGCATTTTATTGAATTTACGATAAATTAATTTTTAGTGGCCAACGCTTGACGATCAAGTAATGTGAATGTTGGCGTCCATGGGGTCCAGTGGATCACAACCGCCATCTATAACGATATTGTAATCACATTTAAATGGTTATTCTCCCGAATATATGATTTGTGTTGAATAAGATATGAATTGAATGGTAAATGCCTTCGGAGGCCCATTGAAATACACAGTCTGTTCACTTACTTGTATCGGCGCGTTGTTATCGGTTACGGTTTGGGATAACTTGTGGGACTGAACGCGCGATTCCGCGGGTGTATTGACGCGTCGCACGCGTGTGTCGTCCGTCCAGTATTCAAATGAACACATTATTTGCAAAGATTTTGTTCAAATGACGAGAAATTCTGTTCAAATAAACAGGATTTTTGTGTAAAACTTTTTTCACAATTATTGTAATGTCAAACAAACCTTATGGTAATAATATTGTTGGCTTTTGTAGATCAGCTCGAGTTGGGTTGAAGAGATCACGTTTATTCGCACCGCTTCATTGAATAGCCCTCACGTAATAATGGGTGTCATTGTGTGCCACCTCTTGTAGCCGATGCCGTTCTGTATAAAAATATAATGTTAAAAATTATTCATAATATAAATTCTTATAACATTTGTTGTATGGTTTTGAACGGGGAAAGAGTGGATAGGGGTTCGAAGCTTTGCATGTTGTCTGTAGTGACTTATATTTAATTACATAAAAGTTACAACAAATTGTAAACGTTTTTACCTATTCTGAGAAATACAGAATGAAATCGGATTTAAAATATTGTTTCACGAATTAATGGAAAATTAATTAAAAGTACATGTAATGCAACTAAATGAACATTATTGCACAACACCTGGAGTAAAATCAGGGATTTAACATTAAAATGGCATATGTAATACATTGATAATAAATTAAATGTTTTATAATAAAAGTAAAGAAGATTTTGAAATTTAGAAATTTTGAATAAAATAAGAATTTTAATTCAGAAATACTAACAAATTGTATATAAAATGAAAATTTAATTGTGTTTTGTTTATTTTACATTTTAACAATAGTTTTGTTTATAAGATTTATTGTTTATGAGGTCTTTGAGTGTTGTTTTCATTGAATCGATAGGCAATGAAAGCGACAATAATTGTCGACACAATCAGAATCAACACAAGTATTGCCATAATATATGACAATACACTTGATTGCCATCCGGAGGTCGAGCCCCTCAACACACCTCCTCTACGACAGAAAGTGTGGAGATATGTGTAGTCAACCTATTGATGAAATATACGATTAAATTTAATAATAAAATCAAACAATCAATAAATCACAACAAACATCGATATCTGGCAAATGTGACATTTTCCTGTCATTTTGGTTATACATATTGTAGATGTAAAGCATGTTTTTATTGTCGTTTTTGAGCCAATTGGCCACCAAATAAGGACCGGTAGGGCTGTTGAGGTCGGGGCCGTACCCGAAGTACATGCCCACCAATTTGTCAAATTTTAAATCAGTCCACTTATGGTAATAGGTTGGGCCAAATGTGCCTACATTTTGCTGTTTATAATTAAAGGCAAAGTATATCTGTTTGACTACATTGTGATGTGTGTCCGACACCCAAATGGTTGTCTCGTTATAGCCGTAAACCATATATAGGCCGATGTAATAGTCGCTGGGGTTTGGGCCCCAAAACAGACCCGCGAATAATAAGGGGTGCATATCATTGGCCAAACTTATGTCGCCCTTCGCCGGACCCAAAGTGAAGTCTATGATCTTTAGTAGCGGTGAGTGCGCTGTCGGGTCCGCAACTGGGGTCAGTACTGGGGTTCCCATAAACTTATTGGCATTGTATGTAAACATTGCGAATATATAGCGGCCTAACGATCGGTACGCGGGACTACTCATGCCGTGTATTATCACTTCATAATATCCCATCATATGGCGCGACTCAACTGAATACCCGGTCACCCGATGTCTCGTTTCTAACAAATTTAATGTGAGTTTAATATATTTTTTAATCATAATATCATTTAATATAAATTTTTAATAAATTTTTGAGTTTTTGTGTGTATTCTTAACATAATTACCAAAATATATGGCCAACAGTTGTGTGACATGTATATCAAATTCAAAGACCCGATCGTTGTAACTAAAGAGATAAAAATGACGGCCCGTTTGATGGTATATATCGGGACCGATATTGAAGACACTCTGACGGCTGTCGTACCCTCTCTTCAGCGGACACACGTCTTCCCAATAATTACTGGTCACTGAATATATTAAGCCATTCGCCGGACATGTGATCAGTTCGTGCCATAAATAGTTATCCACGGGTTTAAACTAATATTGAAATTATAATTAATAAATTATCAATAAATTTATAATTAATTAAAATTGAATTTTAACAAAATATACTGTATATACCAGTGGCTCATCACTTGATGTGTTATTGATTGCATAAATATACGGTTGTTTATGAATACTTTTCGATACTATAGCCATAACTCTATCATAATGTGTGAAAAGTGCGGTAATATTAGTTTGATTTTCCTGTATATAATCAAATGCCGTGACATTTATAAGTGATGTAAAATTCATGTGTTTTTCGTATTTAATTCTCAAATCCCAGGCAATAGTGTAGATGTGTTGCCGATTACTGTCAGGCGTGAGCACCGATACGACCGCTTTGTTAGTCTCGTAGTCGTCCACATATGCGGTGATGCCCTGGAAGTGGTGGTGCCATAAGCCTCGCAATGCCATCACTTTATACACTGAATCGGCAAATATTTGACAAAAGCGGTGGTAATTCACTTCGGACTCCGCATACGAGTATCCCTTGAGGCCATCCGGAGTCAGTATAAATGGATACGCTATGAGACCTTTGGTTGAAAATGTGATGTATTGGTTGATGGGTTGAGTGGACGCATACAAACACACGTTTGAATAGTGTTTGGACTTTACATAACTGCTAATACAGGCCTCCAAACTGAGGCCAGATTTATAGCGATAACAGTAGTTTTGAGCGATAAAATCCCATGACTTGTATTGAAATACATAGATTTTACGGCTTATATCTATCGAAAAATGAGTTAATGTATGTATTTTTAAAGTATAATTAACAAATATATGACAGATTACAGACCAATTTTTGCTTTTTTATAATAGATACTATCGTAGAGTACTTTTTCAAAGTGTGTGTCAAAAATAATGTTGTGAAGTGAATCTAATGATTGAAATCCATTTGGAAATGATTTCCAATCAAAACCTTCTGTAAAATATCGCCAAAATCTGGAGTTTTGTTTGAAGTAAACATTTGGTCCCAAACTGAAGACACTATCAAAACGATAGCCGAGTCGGCAGATATCAAACGGAGCGAACGATTCCCGGCTTTCATTGCATCGAAAGAAATGCGAAAATATAATATACTTTCGGTTTGAAAGTGAAAATCAAATATAAATATTAATTAACAATAATTTATTAAACAATGAATTTAATGATAATTATAACGATATCAATACCTGAAACCCTATGAAAGTTTGTGTGAAATTGTTTGTGGTGTGGATATTGAATAAATGACTTTCAAACAAACACTTGTCGGCACACATATAGATACTGGATATACCGGGGAATGCCATAAGTATCGGCTTTTGGCCGTAAATGTCCACGAAGTCCACTGAAATGGTCTTATTATATGGATATGCCTTATAATAAAAGAGTGTGTTTATGAGTTTTGTCAAATGGTTTGGATGGATGTGTCTAAAGATGGCTACACTTCGGGAGATATAGTTTCCGGTTTCACTGTAACGGCTGCTCAACGACTGAATTGACACCAAAGACTTGCCCACGTATTGAGCCGTCGGAAACATCTGATCCAATGTATTGACACAATGGGTGCGGAGTTTTTGAAGATCAGCAGATAGTTTGTAATTGATTAAACAGTTTTGTACCAAAGGTTCAGTAAAATCTGAACCACACATACGGATAGAAAAGACATTTTCCTGATAATGATATTCTAAGACAATAGGGTCTGTAGTGATGGCCGACAATGGGTTTGATGTAATGAAAAGCAAATATTGTATTAGAAATATACACACAATTAGTTGATATACAATAACAGAAACCTTTAAGAAGTTTTGTGTCTCCCGTCGCGACAATACAGATCAGGTCTATGTTGTGATCCCTCATAACGTGTGTAATCATTGCACACAAATGGGTATAATTGGCAGCATTTGATGTAAAGTTACAAAAATTGATCAGTTCTTCGTAAACCAACGGATATGCCGTAATCGGTGTCCCAAACGCTGTAAACAATGGTAACAGATTTAATCGTTGATTAGTTTAAAGTAATTATAATTTTAGTCGTATTAATGATTGTGTAAAAAATATTTACGCAAATGAAATAAGTTGTGAAGCAAATGTAATAAATGGGTTGAATCGTGTGATAAATTGTAATATTTTTTGTCGATTTTAATGCCCGTATAGTTTCCGTATTCCATGTCTTCAATTCCCGGTTCATTCACTTTCCATAACTCGGATGTATTGTCTTTGGTGTAGATTTGATAAAACACATGGTTTTGAAATCCAAATGCACTCATAATCTCTGTATAATTGCATAATTGATGCTTCGGTTCGTTGACCACCGATTGTTGACCACAACTAATCCATAAAACATTACCGATAATCAAGATTTGCAGCCAAAGTGAAGACATGTTTTGCAAACGAATAGAAGAATTGAATAAATTATTCAGTAATTGAACTAATTTTTAATTTGAATTAACATTTAGTTTAAAAACGTGACAATAAGTGCTGGCATTTAGTTAACGATTGTCTATATCAATAACTATTAACCATTTGCTAAATTCTCGTGAATTGTGAGTATTGTTGGCATTAATGTTACCGTTTAGTGAAAATATTGATAAAACAGACAAACGGTAAACAATTAATACAACAAAAACTTACATTATTTTAATCACAACTAAATTACTAATCAAATGTAAATTAATGTTTGGATCTATTAACTTTAATATAGCTATACATTTTTAATCATTAAAAATTATGTTTAAAACAAATTTTAAATTAGATGTGATTTATGTAATATTATATAAACAATCTAAATCTTAAATGAAATTTAAACATTATTTTATGCAGCATATGTATAGTGACTATATTCTATGGTTACTCTAAAATAATGTTTGGTTTTTTATTTATATCGTTCATAATTTATTTGTTATTCAAAAATTAATTTATCAATGAATTGAAGTTTTTTAAATAAATTAAAAATAAACAAAATATTTTATAATAAATGAAATGTCTTTGAATAGTCAGAGAATTTGAATTCAAAAATATTTACAAATTATGTGACATAAAATTTAGATTTTTAAAAACATTTTGACAATTGTTTTGTTTATAGGATTCAGTGTTTGTGCGGTCTTTGAGTGGTTTGAGTGTTGTTTGCATTGAATCGATAGGCAATGAAAGCGACAATAATTGTCGACACAATCAGAATCAACACAAGTATTGCCAAAATATAAGTCAATACACTTGATGTGTGCCATCCGGACGACGGCGCCTCTCCATCAACCCCTCCTATACCACAGAAATAGTAGAGATATGTGCTCTCGACCTATGGGTGCAAATGTATGGTTAATATTAATGACAATACGAAACAATTAATAAATCACAACAAACTTCGATGTCTTTTAAACTTTTCATTTTTTTCTCCTTTTTGTTATACATATTATAGATGTAAAGCAAGTCTTTATTGGTTTCTTTGTAGGCATTGGCCACCAAATAAGGACCGGTAGGTATAGTGTGAGTGCCGTATGTGTCAAAGTAAATGCCCACCAATTTGTCAAATGTTAATTCATCAAAGTTATAGGCATAATTTAAGCCAAACTCACCAACGTCTTTTGGTTTATAATTAAAGACAAAGTATACTTGTTGGAAGACCTTGCTATGTGTGTCGGACACCCAAATGGTTGTGTCGTTATAGTTATAAACCATATATAGGCCGACGTAATAATCGCTGGCCGTTTGGCCCTTAAACAGACCCCCAAATAGTAAGAGATGCATATCATTAGCAAAACTAATGTCTCCCTTCGCCGGACCCAAAGTGAAGTCTATGACATTGAGTTCGGGTGAGTGCGCTGTCGGGTCCACAACGGGCGTCAGTATTTGGGTTCCCATAAACGTATTGCCACTGTATGTAAACATGGCGTATATATAGCGGCCTAACGATCGGTACGCGGGACTACTCATGCCGTGTATTACCACTTCATAATATCCCAACATATGGCGCGACTCAACTGAATACCCGGTCACCCGATGTCTCGTTTCTAACAAATATAATGTAATTTAATGTAAATTGATTTAATTGTTTAAAAAAGTATTTATGGAGTTTTTTGTGTGTATTTTCAAAATAATTACCAAAATATGTGGCCAATAGTTGAGTGACATGTCTGTCAAACTTCATGCGATCGGACTGATAGGTAAAGTAATAGAAATAACGGCCCGTTTGGTGGTATATTTGGGAACCGATATTGAATACACTGAGACGGGTGTTGTAATATCTGGTCGCGTGACAGACGCCTTCCCAATAACTACTGGTCACCGCATATATTAAACCTTTTGCCGGACATGAGATATATTTCTCCTAAAAATATAACTGGTTTTAAGTAATTTTATAATTAAGAAATTAAAAAACTTATAACCATTGGCTCAGCATATGATGTGTGATTGATTACATAAAGGCCTACGTCTTCGTAGGTAAGCCTCGACACTGCGGCCAAAACTCTGTCATTAGATGTGAAAATGCCGATCGTATGCGTCTGTATATTGTGTTCGTATGTATTTGAAGTGACATTTATAACCGTTTTAAGTTTGATGTATTTGCTGTAATCCAAATGTATGTCCCATTTAATTGTAAATATCTGTCGTTTAAAACCGACGGACGAGTCGGGCGTCAGCACCGATACGACCGCTATATTGATGTCATAGTCTTCCACATAAGCAGTGATGCCCTGAAACTCGTCTCCAATGATATGATTGTCGATTTCATCGGCGATTTGTTTGCAAAAATATCGATATTTGTCTTCAGACGTATGATTTGCGTACGACTTGAGGCCATTGGGTGTCAATACAAATGGCACGGCTGTCATCCCTTTGATGTTGAATGTGGTGTCTGTGCTCTCGGGTAAAGTGTTTGCATACAAACACACGTTTGAATGGTATTTGGACTCAACATATCTGGCAATGCATGCAATACTCTCTTTGCTTTTCTTCTCATATGTATAACAATAGGTGTTGAGTATATATTCCGATGACTTGTATTCAAATGCATACACTTCTCGGTGTAAATCTATAGCAAAACCAGTTTTAGTCGTGATTTATATGTGTATTAATATTAAACATTACAAACCAATGTTTTTATTATTGAGAAAGTCTGCGAAATATGTGTCGAAAACAAAATTTTGAAGTTTATCTGAAGACTGAAATCCAATGGGAAGTGATTTCTGAGTGAAACCCTCAGTAAATTGTCGCCAAAAAGTATTGCTTTTTTGAAAGTAAATATTGGCTCCAAAATTGAAGACACTATCAAAACGATATCCCTTTCGGCAGACATCAAACGGATTGAATGGTTCAGTGTTTTCATTGCATCGAATGAATTGTGAAAATGTAATGTTCTTTCCGTTTGTAAATAAATGACAAAACATTTATATTACTTATAAGTTATAATAAACAATAATATATTAAAAGTGTTAAGCAACAGATATAATGACAATTATAGGCTAACACCTGTACAACCAATACCTGTATTCCTAATGCAATTAATGAAAAATCGTTTACGATCTCAACTTTGGTTAGATTCTTGCCAAACACACACTTGTCTTCACACATATACAGATAGACATCGTATATATCGGGAAATGACAACAGTATTGGGTATTCGCCGAAACTGTCGGCCAAATCCATTTGACTGCTCTTTTCATAAGGATATCCCTCGTAATTAAGAAGAGTATTCTTGTGCTTCGGCGGGATATCCCACGAGTCGTAGTGCCTAACGATTGCTAAACATCGGGTGATATGGTATCCGATATCACTGTAACGGGTGCTCAAAGTATGCATTGAAAGCAACGCCTTTTCCGTGTAATGAGTGGTCTTCGGAAACATATGATTCAATGTGTCGATACATTGGGTGCGAAGCTTTTCCACATCAAGCGATCCTTTGTAACCGTTGACACACTTTTGAACCGAAGAATTATATACCTCTGAACCACAGTTACGGATAGAAAAGACATTTTCCTGATAGTGATATTCTAAGACAGTAGGGTCTGTAGTGATGGCCGACAATGGGTTGGATGTAATGAAAAGCAAATATTGTATTAGAAATCTATTCAATAGCAGTGATAATGAAAAACCAAAACCTTGCACCAAAATTGGATCTCTGGCCACAAAAATGCATACTATGTCGATGTCTGTGTCATTAACAACGTGTTCAATCATTGAACATAAGTATGGATACTGAGCAACATTTGATGGATTGGTTGTAGAGTTGCAGAAAGGGATGAGATGTTCGTATAGTAACGGAAACGCCGTAATCGGTGTCCCAAACGCTATAAGCAATGGCAACACATTTAGAAGTGAATTATTGTTAAAGTAATTATAAATTTAGTCGTTTTAATGATTGTGTAAAAAAATATTTACGCAAATTAAATGAGTTGTGAAGAAAATGCAATAAATCGGTTGAATCGTGAGATAATTTGTAATATTTTTCAACAATTTTAATGCGCTTTTTGTTCCCGATCTCATTCGCCCAGATCTCTTCAATTCCGGTGTCATTCACTTTCCACAACTCATATCTATCATCATTTGTATAGATTTGATAAAACACATGGTTTTGTAATCCAAATGTACTCGTGATCTCTCTATACGAGCATAATGTATGCTCGGATCCGTTGACCACAAATTGTTGACCACAACTAATCCATAAGAGATTACCGATAATCAAGATTTGCAGCCAAATTGAAGACATGTTTTGCAAACAAATAGAAGAATTGAATAAATTATTCAGTAATTGAACTAATTTTTAATTTGAATTAACAATTAGTATAAAAACGTGACAATAATTGATAGCATTTTAACAACAGATTGTCTGAAAGAATAAATGTTAAATTTGCTTAATTCTCGTGAAGTGAGAGCAACTTATAGTTGGCAGTAAATGTTTGATTTTTGAGTTAAAACTTTCAAACTGCAAAACAAAGTAAAATTTTAATACTTATTATTAAATTGCATTTATTTCTTACAATTAATAAAAAATTTATCACAAAATGTATTTTTAAAATAAAAGTAAATTTAAAGTTAATTTCGATAAAGTAATCAGTGGATCGCGTGAAACTCTTTTGCGTTAAACTTATTTATAACAACGTTTACAATAAAGTAATTATAAAAATTTTCATTGTTTTTCATGAGTTGTAATCATTTGTTAAGATTTTCAAATAAATTTCTGATTTGAATTCAATTATATATTTTTTAAATTCTGTTTATTTATTCAGATATTTATAAAACTAAATCTTTTAACATTAACTACAATTGTATTGGGTTTGAGGAAAATGTCTAAATTAGTTATAAATATCCAAATAATAGTTACTTTGTTATTAACATTGTGTGAGTTATAAACTTGTATTTGTAAAATATACAAAATACTCATAAAATTAAATAAATGCTTACATTTTAGTGCAAACTTATGATATGTTTGTATCGGTCGGGGATTATCCTAATTATCCGAAATATAAGAAATACGGGATTAACGACGAGACGTGTGGATACAAATACTCAACGGAAGTCGTGTTTATAACATATAACTCCGAGTGCTTTCCCAATAACTATACGATGCATAAAGTATTTGATGTATTCGGTGGCTATGATTACCGCTATTGGGCCACAAGGAGTGCGACCGAAACAGGCAATTATGATCGCAACCATGGCGTGACACCATGGGCAGTTCAGGTTCAGGTGGTTCACACTACACCTGATCCTAATGATCCCGATAAACCGCTGCAAAACATCACTTATTGCTCGGGTGTATTGATTACCAAACATTGGGTGTTAACGGCCGCCGATTGTTTCAAAGCGTAATTACATTTTTATATATTATAAGTTATAATTTATAACTAAGTTTTGGCACCAATACTAATAATGGATATTTTGGTAACCGTTATATAACAGCGTGTATCCAAGCGGTAACGTTGATACATGGGTTGCGGCCGGAATTCGGCGTTTTCACGGGCAATTAATTTCAGTTGTCGGCCGAGAAATTATGCCCGGCCCTAGAGAGAGCGTGGCTTTGCTTCGGCTCCGGGCGAATGTCCAAATTCAGAACATTAAACGACAAATGCTGGTCAACACCATATGTCTGCCCCCTATGAACCAAGTGCTGGATCAGCCCGACTGGGCCACACTGTCTGGGTATACAACTAACTTTTGGTTACACCATGGTGACATTTATTTACAATCGGGCGCGTCCTGTAATCTGGCGGCTAATAGCGCACTGGTTTGCGCCTCAAACTCGGCAATCGGCTCAATGTTCACGCCCTGTACAGTGAGTGCCCGACTTGTCTTAACTATAATTGTTATATAAGTCTAATTGTGTCCGCTTTGAAGGGCGATGAGGGCGCGGGTGTTGTCCAGTATACCGACAGACAACGGATCAAAGCTATACTTGTGGGCACACATGTGAGACGTGGACCAAATGCCGGTGATGTTTGTCAAAATACGAGTTTTTATATTTCTACCCCGAGTATTGTTGACTGGATGTTAAAAAAGATTGAATTTTATGCGAAACCCGGTGTTGGTTAACTAATATATGTATTAAGTTTTATTTTATTTGTAATTTAATCTCAATTAATATTTGTTTTGTCAAAATTGTATTCATTAACATTCTGTATATTTAAAAATATTTATTCAGTAAATAATTTAACAACGTTTAGTTAAAAACTATCACGTTTAAAACAATGAATGACATTTAATTTGTCTTTTTATTCAAACATTAATTAACTTTTGATTAGTAATTTAGTTGTGATTAAAATATTGTAAGTTTTTGTTGTATTAATTGTTTACCGTTTGTCTGTTTCATCAATATTTTCACTAAACGGTAACATTAATGCCAACAATACTCACACTTCACGACAATTAAGCAAATGCTTAATAGTTATTGATTCAGACAATCGTTACTTAAATGCCAGCAATTATTGTCGCGTTTCTTAACTAAATGTTAATTCAAACTAAAAATTAGTTCAATTACTGAATACTTTATTTAATTCTTCTATTCGTTTGCAAAACATGTCTTCACTTTGGCTGCAAATCCTGATTATTGGTAATCTCTTATGGATTAGTTGTGGTCAAGAATCAGTGATCAACGGATCGGAGCATACATTATGCGATTACACAGCGATTATGAGTGCATTTGGTTTACAAAACCATGTGTTTTATCAAATCCACACCAAAAACAATACATCCGAGTTGTGGAAAGTGAATGAACCCGGAATTCAGGACATATCTCAAGAAAACCAGAGGATTGTTAAAATTGCGAAAAGATATTACACTTTATCACACGATTTGACCCATTTATTGGATTTTCTTCAAAAATCATTTAATTTGCGTAAATATT